GGGTTCCGGTGCCGCCCCCTGGCGGCCACAGGAGCGATGCGGGCGGAGGGGTGCGGGGGCGATGGGGGGCGCAGCTTCGGAGGTGAGGGGTGCGCTTAGGGTGAGGGCGGCGCGTCCCTCTGCGATGCGGCGTGCACCACTGCCGCTGGGGTCCCCCCGTCGTTCCCGCCCCGGGGGTCCCCCCGTCGCCCCYGCCCCGGGACCAGCCCCCGTCAGGCAGCTGGACCCGGGGGGGGGCCGGAGCTCCCGGGCTCGGGGGGCTCGAGATTCCCGCGGGGCGGATGAAGCCGGCAGCGGTGGCCACGTGTCGGTGTCACTAATCCCCTCGCGGCAGTGGCTCGGCGAGGTCCCCGCGGTGTCCCGGGGCCACCCTGTTCCACGCCGTGCTGGCCCCCAGCCCGCGGCCCCGCGTGCGGCAGGGAATCCCCCCGCCGCGGGCACGGGAACAGGGACAGTGCCAGCTGGCATCCGCCGTGCCAGGCTGCTGGGCCCAGCGCCAGCTAGGGGCCACCCTGAGGGGGTGATTCGATGCTTTGGCGTCACCCTCGTGTGCCCTCCCGGGGTCCCCCGAGAGTGAGGGGCTCCTGAGGGGGAGCAGGATGCCCCCCCCGTCCCCATCCCCATCCCCCAGAGGTTGCCCCAGGCTGCCCTTAACCACCCCCTGACCCCCCCAGCTGTGGCACCGGATTAACGCCGCAGCTGTTAACGAGTTCTGAGCGGCTTAACCCAGCCCGGCACCCCCAGAGCTTCTCGCGGCCCCCCTGGCCCCGCTGCCCACGCATAGACCTGCCTGCGTTGTTTGGAGGGGGAAAAGSACATCCCCACCCTCCYGTGCCTCAGTTTCCCCCTGTGGTGCAGCTGCAGTGGGGCTGTGCCTGGTGGAGTCAGTGCTGGGGGGGCAGATAGGGGTGATCCCTGGAGCGGGGAGAAGGAGGGAAGGTTCATTGAGCAGGAATGGGGGCGAGGAGGGGATGCTCCCCAGGAAGGGGTGCCCAGCCAGGAGCGGGGGAGGAGGAAGTGCCCATCAGGGACAGGGGCAGTGTCCCCCAGGATATTTGGGGCCAGGCAGGGGTGCCCCCCTGGGTGGGGGTGCCATCCCCCAACATCACTGACCCTCTCCTTCCTGCAGGCAGCTCTTTCCCGTGCCTGGTGGACGTGGTGCCGGTGAAGAACGAGGATGGCGCYGTCATCATGTTCATYCTCAACTTTGAGGCCGTGAGGGAGCCYGAGCCCGGGGAGGCCCCGACCCCCAGCACCAACCACTGGGTCACCCCAGCCCCCTGGGGCCCTGCAGGTACGGAGGGACAGTGACGCTGAGTCACCCCCTCCCTCTGAGTTCCTGCAGGGAAAATGGGGTCAGCACCATTGTACTTGGGGTCACCCCGTGTCCTGCTGACCCTGTGTCCCAGGTGTTGCTGTAGGGCACGTGGGGAGGGTGGGCAGCACTGTGGGGGTTGTGAGCCAAACCCTGCCCCTGTGCCCAACCCTGACTTCCAGGGCACAGCTGATCCCTGTGGCTGAAGCAGTACCGTGGTGGGGGTTTGGAGTTGGATCCTGACCCCATGCCCAGCCCTGACCCTGATCCTGTCCTTCCCCCAGGACGCAGCCGGTCCCTGCGGCTGAAGCTGCTGGCGCTCACGGGCAGCCGCCAGTCGCTGCCCCCGGAGCCGCCGGAGCCCCCAGACGTGGTGGTCGTGGACCCTGGGGTCATGGACCCGCTGGCCATGGACCTGGCTCTGCCTGGCGGCGACTCAGGCCCTGAGGACGCCTCATCCTCGCTGGAACCTGGTGCTGGGGACCATCCGGAGGACGAGGCGGCGCTGATGGGCGATGCTGAGCTGCCAGTGACACAGTCGTCCCCGCGGGCTGAGCGCCTGGCTCTGGCCTTTGCCAACCACAGCCTGGCCCGGAGCCGGTCCCGGGAGCGCCGGTCCCGGGAGAGCCTCCGCAGCTTGCGCCGGGCGTCGTCTGTTGATGACATTGAGGCTATGAAGGGTGATGCGGACAAGCGCTGCCACAGCCGCCATGCCAGCGCCAGCGCCGGCCTGCACCGCGGCTCCAGCACCGGTACGGCCATGCTGGCACAGGGGACAGTCATTGGCGCTGGGGACACTGGGGCAGCCACAGTCAGAGACCCCCCACCCCACCTCCCCACAGACCCTACAGCAGCGCCTGGGGCTGGCAGAGGCTGGGGACTCCCCCCTGTCAGCACTGAGACCCTCCCAGCCCATCCTGCAGCCCACCCTGTGTCCCCATCCCCTCAGCCACACTGAACCACGGTAGGAAATCACCCTGGGAATCCCCTTGGGAATCACCTGGTTGGCTCCAGAGCTGGTTAAGYGCATTACGATAAGGGACAATCATTATAATGATATTAAAGGTAACTGAGAGCAGCTCTGCGGCTCCCGGGGGGGGGGCCTGTGGCACACGGCTGGCGCTCTGTCCCCCTGCCCTGGGGCTCCCCTTTCCCTTTACCTGCTGTGGGACCCCAGCCCTGGGAGCTGTGGGATCACCCCATGGACCGTGGGACTCCTGCCTGAGGAACCTCGGGAAGCTGTGGGACCCGCCCCCAGGAATCCAGGACCCTTGTGCCCCGGTGACAGTCCTCCCCTGCTGTGGGATGTCCTGGTGACGGTGTGTCCCCTCAGGTGCGGTGGCTGCCGTGCGCAGCGCGCTGCTCAACTCCACATCGGACTCGGACCTGGCGCGGTTCCGGGCCATTGGCCGCATCCCCCAGATCACCCTCAACTTCATGGACCTGCAGCCGGGAGGGCTCCTGGCCCCGCCCCCCGCCCCCCSCCCAATCATCGCCCCCACCAAACTGCGCGATCGCACCCACAACGTCACTGAGAAGGTCACACAGGTGAGACCCCACTGGGGGGACGGGGCAATGGGTCACATCGGTGGGACTCTGTGGGGGCAGAGGGCCCAGGGGTTGGACAATGCTGAGGTGACCAGGTGACGCCCTAGATGATTGGGAATGCCAGAGGTGGCCACGTGGTGACAGAAGTGATTGGACAACTCTCTGGTTGTGGCCAGGTGGCCAACAGTGGCCAGGTGATGCCAGAGGTGGCCAGGTGATGCCAGAGGTGGCATGTGGTGTAGAGATGGCTGGGTTGTACCAAGGTGTCCGCACAATTTCAGACACGGACGGGCAGTTATGACGTGGCCAGGCTGTGTCAAGATGGCCACACAGTGACAAAGTGTCTGAGCAGTGACAAGATGTCCAGGCAGTGCTGGAGGGGATGTACTGTGCTGAAGGTGGCCAGATGGTGCCAAAGTAACCAAGTGGTGCCAGTACTGTCTGGGTGCTGCCAAAGTGACTGGGTGCTGATGGAGGTGGCCGGGCGATGCCAAGGTGGCTCAGTGGTGCTGGAGACATGGCTAGAGCCCAGGGGATGCTCCAGCAAGAGCTGGAGTGCACTGGGAGGTGCCAGAGCTTACTGGGAGGAGATGGTGGGAGCACAGTTGGATCCCCTTGGCAGGCTAGAGGGGCCAAAGTGGTGGGGCAGGGGCCACTGTACCTGCCCTCTGGGACCAGGACCCTCAGGGACACCAGCGGGGGGCTTAGTGACGGTGTTCTGGTGCCGTGGGTGCCGTGGCCGGGGGCAGTCGGGTCCGGGACAGTCCCCGGGAGGCTCCCAGTGGGGCACAAGGGGCAGACCCCCCTCCCCCGGTGCCGTGATACTCCTCACCCCGGTGCCGTGCCTGCGGGGTGCCGGGCACTGGCGGCGGCGCTAATCCGCGGCCCGTTGTGTAACCGCCATCTGCCGCGGGAGCAGGAGGCACCGCTTAATTACACCGTGATTGCCCCCCCGCTAATGAGACGGGGGGTCGGGGGCTCCGGGCGTCCCCGGGGGGCTGCGCGGGATGGGGACCCTCTGCGTGTCCCGCCCCGCGGTGTCCCCAAGCCTCCCGCGCAGCCCCAACCGGGGCTGTCCCCGGGGGGATGGAGCAGCCCTGCTGCATCTGCCCGAGCCCCTCGGGATCCCCCGGCCCCGCACCTGCCTGCACACGCGAGGGGGGCCCCGTGGGGGATCCTTGTTCCTACCTGGAGCTCCGGGCCCTGCTGCCGGGGCTCCGGGTGCTGATGGTGGAGCAGCCACGTGGCCCTCGGTGGGGTGGGGGGACTCTTCTGTGGGGTGGGACCCCCCCTCACTCTGCATTTCCGACCCTCCAGCCCCTCACGAAACCTCTCGATTGCCTCGGCCGTGATTAATTGCACCGCCAGGGTGATGCTGTGGTCTCTACTGCCCCCGCCATTGCCACSGGGGGACATGAGGGGACAAGGAGGAGCACAGCCGGGGGTCCCAGCGCTGGTGAGGGAGTCTCAGGGTGCCCTGGCCGTGCAGTTGGGCAGAGCTGAGGACATGCACGAAGAGAATGTGGGAACTGGGGGTGTGTGGGTGTCCCCAGATCAGGCATGGCACCCCTGGGTCKGTGGCACGGGGGGACAGGGTGTCCCTGCAGTGGCACCGTGATTCACTCGCGGGGCCAGAGCCAAGCACCCGTCAAGGTCTCTGTCCCCTGGATGACASTGACAGGGTCTGTCATGGCTGAGGTGGCCATAGCATCCCCATGGCTCGAGGGACCCTCAGGGACCCCTGGCCTGCTTTGGCGGGGATCCCTGGGTGGGGCAGGGTAGGTCTGGGGACCCCAGTCCCTCTCAGGGTATGTGGGACCCAGTGATGCCACCAGGCAGGGAGTKTCACTGGGGCATCACTGGCTGTTTGTGGCGGGTTGGGGACACCCGGGACCCTTTGTTGCCGGGCCCTTGCTGCCGAACCAGGCCCTGCTGGCACCAGCCGGGTGGGCGCGGGCGCTGCCCCCCAGGTGTCCCCCCTCGCTGGGGCCGGCGGTGCCTGCTGGGGAGGGGGAAGGGAGGTGCAGCCGTGGGGCACTGCCAGGGCTGGGCAGTGGCCAGGGACACCAGGGACGTGGGGACACCGGGAACCGTGAATCAGCTGGGGCTGCCAGGGCCAGCTCACCGCTACCGTCACGGTCCCTGTCCCCGTCACTGTCCGTGTCCCCTCCATCACTGTCCCCATCCCCGTCACCATCCCCGTCCCCATCCCGCTGCTGACAGGGCTGTGTGAGTCACACCTTGGGGATCCCTTGTGGGGCGTGGGGGGCTGCAGGTGCCAGCTGGCAGCGGGGAAGGGGTGGCAGTGGAGCAGGCAGGGGAGACATCGGTTCCGCGGATCCCGGTGCCGCCCCTCGCCCCCTCCTCGCCCCGGTGTCCCCGTGGGACCGTTCCCGGGCGCTCCCGGT